TACAAGAGAGCCCACCAAACATTTAAAGAGAATAAATATGCTACTTTAAAAATCTTATGTAGACCAAGTATCTTGTTTATTTAACTCTTCCCAAAATCCTAGAATATCACATTGAAAGAAATCTGTTAGACAATATATAAAGACTCTTGGATAATGGAAGCATCTCCAGAAAGTTCATCAAAGCATCCAGCTTGTGTTCTGCTACCAAGTCTCTGGCTGCTACGGGTTGAATTGTAGCCATCCCTCAAAATATATGTTAACTCTATTCCCCAGTCACTGACACCTAGTACTTCAGAATGTGACCTTATTTGGAAATAAAGTTGTGTATGTAATTAGGTAAGTTAGGATGAGATTATACAAAAGCAGGGTAGGCTCCCGATTCAACAAGACAGGTGTCCTTGTAAGAAGATAGCCACGTGAAGATGCCAGAGACAAGAAGGGAAAAAGGGTAAGAACATCGTACGATGACAAAGGGAGAGCCTGCACCGAGGCAGCTGTAAGCCAAAGAGTACCAAAGATTGCCCACAAACCAGCAGAAGTAGGAAGAGGCGGGAGGATTCCTCCACAGGTTTCGGAGGGAGCATGACTCTGCCAACACTTTCATTTTGGACTTCTAGCCTCCAGAACTATGGCACAATATACTTCTGTACCCGGTGGTGCTTTGTTTCAGCAGCCCTAGGAAACTAACACAATAGCTTTGACTATATTTTGGACTTTCTTTTCAGAATGATCCCAAAAGGATCATTTCATGTAGTGATCAGCAAAGCAAGGAAAATCATGGAGTTTTTCCATCCAATTACCCCCAGTCCTGAACTGAAACCAATTTCGGAGTCTGTGAACTAACATACACATTGTCAAACACATGCCATAGGGGATACATCTCCTAATCCACATATTTCGGTGTACAAATGTAACTTTCTTGTTTTTCTATAACTTGATTATTAAACAGTGGCTTTGCTGAGATATAGTTTTCATGGCATTAAATTCACCATTGTGTGTGTGTTTTAGCATTTTCACAAAGTTGTGTAACCACCACCATTATTTAATTTTAGAGCATTTTCCTCACTCCCCCCCAAAACTCCATGCCCAGTAACAGTCACTCCCCATTACATCTTTACTCCAGAGCACTGATTTCACTATTTCAGACAGTTTGTATAAATGGAATTATATAATAAGTGGTCTTTTGTGACTGGCTTCTTTTATCTAGCAAATTTTTTTCAAGGTTCATTCATGTAACATCACCCCATTTATTTTTTATTGCTAAGTAATATTCCATTGTATAGATGTACTGTGCTTTGTTCATCCATATCACTTGATAGACATTTGGATTGTTTCTCCGTTTTGGCCACTATAAGCAATATTGCTATGCACATTTGTGTACAGGTTTTTGTGTGTAGATAGTTTTCATTTCTCTTGGGTGTATACGTAGGAGTGGAATTTCTGGGTCATGTGATAAATCTGTTTAACATCCTGAGGAGTGGTAAGCTATTTTCCACAGCAGCTGCACCATTTTACATTCCTACCAGCGATGTACAAGGGATCAAATTGCTCCTTATCCTAACCAATACTTGTTATAGATGTCTTATTTAAGCCATCTTATGGATGTGAAGTGGCATCTCGTGGTTTTGATTTGCATTTCTCTAATATTGTTGAACATCTTTTCACGTATTTATTGGCCATTTGTATATTTTCTTTGGAGAAATGTCTATTCAAAACATTTGCCTATTTGAAAAAAATAGATTTTATTTTTAGAGCAGTTTTAGGTTAACAGAAAAATTCAGTGGAAAGTCCAGAGAATACTTGTATACCCCTTCTCCTCACACAAACACAGACTTCCCCACTAACATCATCCTATACCAGAGTGTTACTTTTGTTACAGTCATTGAACCCATACACATCATTATCACCCAAAGTCTACAGTTTACATTAGGGTTTATTCTTGGTGTTTTACAGGTGTTTTATAGGTCTTGACAAAAGTATAACGACATGTATGTCCCATTACAGTGTCATACGGAATAGCTTCACTGCCCTTACAACTTGTTATGCTCTGTCTATTCATCCCTCCCTCCCTCAGAACCCCTGGCAACATTGATATTTTTATTATCTCCATAGGTTTTGTTTTTCCAGAATGTAGTATAGTTGGAATCATACAGTATGCAGCCTTTTCAGATAGGCTTCTTTCACTTAATAATATTCATTTAAAGTTCTCCATGTTTTTTCAGGTCTTGATAACTCATTTCTTTTTAGTGTTGAATAGTATTCCACTGTCTGGGTGTACCACAGTTTATTTATCCAATCACTTTCTGAAGCAGGACATCTTGGTTGCTTCCAAATGTTGGCAATTTTGAATAGAGCTGCAATAAACATTTGTGGGCAGGTTTTTGTGTGGGCATAGGTTTTCACCTCCTTTGGGTAAATAATAAGACGTGTGATTGCTGGATCACCTAGTAAGAGAATTTGTAAGAAACTACCAAACTGTCCTCCAGAGTGGCTGTATTACCACTTTTGCATTACCACCACCAATGAATGAGGAGTCTTTGCATATTTTTTAATTGGGTAATTTACCTTTTATTGTTAAATTTAAGAGTTTTTATTTATTTATATATTTTTTTAATCCTCACTCAAAGATATTTTTCTATTTATCTTCAGATATAGTGGGAGGGAGGGAGAGGGAAGGAGGGAGGGAGAGAGAGAGAGAGAGAGAGAGAGAGAGAGAGAGAGAAACATTGATGTGAAAGAGACACATCAACTGGTTGCCTCCCACACGACCCTGACCAGGGCCAGGGATGAACCGCAACCAAAGTACGTGCCCTTCACCAGAATCAAACCCGTGACTTCTTGGTTGCCGGGCAGACACTCTAACCGCTGAGCCAAACCGGCCAGGGTTAAGAGTTTTTAAAAAGTATATTCTGAACGGACAACAGTGTGGTGAAGGCAGGGATCTCTTGGCATATGAGAGAAGCATTCTTCTGTTCCAAATGCTGTGTCCTGGTCACAAGGTGGAGGGCCCTGTGACGCTCTTCCAGGCCCATCTACAAAGAGAGACATCCACAGTTCTTTGTGTTCTGTGGCTTTATCTTTATGGAAGGTGGGGAAAACTGGCTCTTAAATTAGCATGCTCTCCATAATCTTTTGTTTAATCATACATTTTGTACCCTAAGTCATTCAGGTTCTTGAGGTTTAATACTCAGAAACTAATTTTTAAAAAGTCTTTTCCCTAATAATTGTTTCTACCTTTGGCTTAAAAATCTATTTTATAATTCAAAAGCAAGAATTTAACTTCTTTGCTACTTGCCTTTTCAATGCCTCTGGTTCAGTTTGAATGGGAGCAGGTAACAGGATATAAGGATAAAATATAACAAGATATTATGTTGCTATATAAGAAGGATGTCCAAAAGCCGAGTCTAAACAGGTACAGGTTGCACAGGGAGTAAAGCTCAGTGACAGAAAGCACACCAAGAGTCATTCTGAAGAGTAAACAGCAACTTTGCCTCTCTTTCTAAATTACACTTCCCAAATTCCCAGAAAATGACAGTCAGTTTCCCAACTTATTATCATGAAATGTGCACAGGGTGGGTCCCACTTTAATAACAGACATTTCCATGTTTATCAGGCAGATGGTATGGTGGGGACTGGGAAAATTAAACAACAAAAAAAGGTGATTTGCTGGGCAGACAAATCTGTTGGAGCTATCTTTGTTGTTCCTCACTGCATATAGTTGGAAGTTCAAACTTCTTAACCAGCATATGAAGCTCTTCAAAACTTTGGGCCTTTCCTTTCTCACCCTCCTATCTTCATTTGATGGAAACACTTTCACTCTTGTTTCTGTCATATTTTACTATGATTTGTAAATTAATGGACAGAGAAGATATCCTTTTAAATAAGAAAATTTACAAAATTGATTATTTTAAATGTAAATGAATGTCTCAAATGCTCCAGGTTTCTAGGCTAATTAGAATAAACCAGTCAGGTCTTTTTCTCTGCACCTGGGCAAAATTGCATCGAACATCTATTAGTTGAATTTCCAGGATGAAATCTAAGGTTATCTCTTTGTCAACTAAATAAAAAAATCAACATTCTACACAGATTTATTAAGCATTCAAGGGAGGTTTGAATAAAGAGCAGAGGTTTTGAGCAGTGATTCCTGAAGTTTTCTGAAACTCAAAACCAACAATGACAATCAGTAACCTTTTGTAAAGGACAAACACATGCTATGTGAACATACAGTAAAAATTTTTTCCCATTAGGCAGACCTTACTACCTGGACTTTAAGAGAATAGCAAGAACTAGCAGTCAGAGTTTATAGATAACCACTGCATTGTATAGATAACCATTGCATTGTGCACACCGAAACTGTTTGCTCCCTCAGGCATAACGGGTAACCGCAAACATCTGCTTCTGTATGTGCTTGCTTGCTCCCAAACCTTTAGCCCAAATTCCTTAAAAGGAGCTAAGACAACTATATAAGCAACCCCACCCCTGAGCTCGGGGCTGCTCTGTCCTCTGCATAGGATGGGACAGTCGCTGCGCAGCTAAAAAACTCTCTTAATTTGTACCCTGTTCGGTGTCTGAGTCTGGTCTGTCTCCTTGGTCTACAACACTTTCCACCCCTTACTTATAGGATATAGAGGTAAAGAATAGCAGAGGATAAAAAAGTTACATTTCAAAAAGAAAGTATAAATGTTAATATATAAAAGCCATCAAAACTGACAATACAGCTGACTTTGGCGAAGAACAAATCCTGGTTAGTGAGGACATTGCAGAACCCCCCCGGTCCCGGATCTGCTCTGCTGACTCTGGGAAGGCTCCACCTCCAGGAACAATTTTATTGGAGCGCCTCGCCCACTAGCACGCGCTCAGACCCCTTCCGCTCGCAATGACAGGCAAACGCTGCTTGCCTCTTCCCCTTGCCGTATCCACCCCCGACTTTCCAACTCCGATTGGTTCGTTTCACAGGACCGCCCCCTCGGCCGAACCAATGTGGAAGCTACCTTGGTGCTCCGCCCTTCCGGCGGCAGGATGCGGGGACGCAGCTTGTAAACGCCGGCGGTTTAGCGGGGATGGCTGCCCTAGCGGTGTCGGCGGGCGGGCTGTGGAGGCTTGGTGCGGCCAGGGCCGAGGGACGCTGGCGTCGGCTGTGTGGTGCGGGGCTGCTGCGGGGCTTCCTGCAGCCGGCCTCGGGCGCTGGGGATGCGGCCCAGAGGCGGCAGGTGGCTCACTTCACTTTCCAGCCCGACCCGGAGCCCCAGGAGTTCGGTGAGCTAGGCTGCCCCGTGCGCTCCCGCTGCTGCCCAGGCACAATCCAGGCCCTGCTCTCTGCAGCCTCGTCCTGTGTCTGTTTTTGTGACTGTTTAACTCTTGAGAGGCAGCCCTGTGCACCTTCGCCTGGGGTGAGAGGGCACACTGATGTCTGGAAGGGCCTGAGGGTGAAGGGGTGGTGCCGAGGCGACGCCTCCCTTTCTCCTTTCTCCTTTCTCCTTTCTCCATCCTTCCCAACCCTGGCCTTAGGTGTTGGCCCCCTTGCCCGGTGCTGAGCCACAAACAACAGATTGCGGTACTTAAAAGAAAGAATGATTTTTTTTATTTTTATTTTGTCTTTGTCAGATTAGAGAAAGCAGAGGAAGTGAGTGAGTGAATTGATTTTCCCAAGGTCACAGAATAGGTTCTTCCTAGAGATGGGAAAGAATCCAGGCTTCCTATGTAAGCCTAGTACCAAGCTGGTGCTGGGCTAGGCTGCCACTTAGCCTAGGAGGGCAATCGATGTAGAGGAAGGGGGGAGGAGGCCACCTAGTGCGTCTCACGGTAGGAAGGACATGGAGCACACCTCACAGTACGACAGTTACATGAGTTTTAGGATTTCTTGTGCAAGTTTCATGTAATCTCCAAAAGTCCAGTGTCTTGTCAGGGCATCAGAAACAATAAAAAACCAAACAAAACCTGTTACCTTTTCCTTGTCTAAAAACTTCTCTTGTGCAAGAGCTGACGTGTGTCTTTACTTGTGAATAATTAAGGATGAACATTTTTTGAGGGCTTACCACAGGCAGGCATTGTACTGAGAAGTTTACATTCATCATCTGATTTGATATTTTCGACAACCTTAAAGAGATCGGTAATGTTTTAATTCCCATTTTTCAGTTAGGTTAATGGAGGTCTTGAGATAGTTTGTCCAAGGTTATACAGATAAGTTAGTGGAATTAAAATTTCCCACAATTGTAGTTTTAATACAAATATAATCTGCATTATTTAATCAAAAGCATCACCAATATTGTTATATAATTTTTATAACCTTCTTTAGAAGACATATTCTGTAAAGTAGAAAAATTATAATTGAATGGTTGAAATTTTGGCCCTAGAATCAGATTGTCCTATGTGCTGTCTTGGTTTTACTACCTATAACTTTGGACTTATCGCTTACCCTCTGTGAGCCTCAATTTCTTTATAAGTAAGGAGTTAATAATAATACTTACGAGGGGTTTGTTGAGGACTAAATAAAGATAACGTGTATGGTATATTTAACAATCTCTGACTACATGCAACAATAAATGGAAACTAAATAATAACCAGTATGCTTTAGTTGTTACAGCTTTGCATTGTTAATAAATAATGCAGATAGGAACATTCCATGTGTGTTTTACGTATCTGAGATTATTTCTTTAAAATAAAGTCCCAGGGATGATACTTCTGACTTTAAGGTATGAACACTTTAATGGATTTTAATGTATAGCTCAGATTTTCATTTTATACTCCATCTGTATGTATAAGAGTGTGAGTATTAGGTGTCATGCTAAAATCACAGGTGTACTGTGATACTGTGATTTAGAATAAAAAAATACATACTTAACCTTTGTTCCATTCCTGGCATAGAGCTCCTAAAACCCTTGAAATTTCTTGTGATGGGAATAGTAAAGGTGTCTTGTTATGTTAATGTTGACTTTTGCAAAGCCCCTAAGTCACTTAAGTATGGGGACTGGTCACCAGAGGAACCAACCCTGTGACTAGAGAGTTGGAACCCACCTGACCTCTGGGGAGCAAGAGGGACTGGAGCTAGAATGAATTGTTAGAGGCCCATGATTTAGTCATTTATGTCTATGTAATGGAGCCTCCATAAAAACCTAAAGGACAGGGTTCAGAGAGCTTCTGGGTTGGTGAACAGGTGGAGATTAGGGAAGAGTAGGATGGTCAGGGAGAATGGAAGCTCCTTGCCCCTTCCGTATACATTGATTGCTCTATACATCTCTTCCATCTGGTTGTTCATGAGTTATATCCTTTTATAATAAACCAGTAATCTAGTAAGTAAACTATTTCTCTGAGTTCTGTGAGCTGCTTTAACAAGTTAATTGAACTCAAGAAGGGGTTGTTTGAATCTCCAGTCTTTAGTGGGTCATTCAGAAGCACAGGTGACAACCTGGACTTGCAATTGGCATCTGAATTGCAAGTGGGGGCATTCTTATAGGACTGAGCCCTTAAGCTGTGGAATCCCATGCTGTTACTGGAAAGGGGACCTGGTCTGAGCAGGTCTGCCTAGGGCCATCTGGTAGTATGTGGGTTCTTGACTTTGTGCAGGAAATATTTCACAACATGAGTCCAGGTGATTTTTAGAGTACATTTATTAAAATTGGGTACAGTGAAACAAGAAGGGCTTAGGATAGAAGAGGCAACAGGAGAGAGATTAGAGGGAGGAAATGAGCCTAGGCTGGACTGCTTTGGCTCACTAAGAAGTCAGAGAAAAAGGGGCCTTGGGGACAGGTTCTGGGGGTTAGTCTGGGGGTTAGTCTGGGATGAACTTGTCCATTGTCCTTACTCTGCTCATGTCTGTTTAACTACCTACCACATCTCCCTCACAAGGATCTTGGCTCTTAATTCTTTCAGAGAAAAGGGATGCAGGATCTCTTCTGTAGCTGCTTCCTGCCGAAGAGGGGCAAAGTTTTCCTTCAGAGCCAAGAGATCCTTACCCTGTGTTAGAGGGACAATGAGGCCTGGACATGCAAGTGTTGTAACGTGTCAGCAAGATAACCAGAGATGCACAGTCGAATTGTAAAGGAGCACTTTATTACACCGGCGGGCTGGGGGGATCTCCCAAATCCCAGCCCGAGCTTCCTTTGTTCTTTGCTTATATAGGAACAAAAAAACAGAAAAAAACTACATTCAAGGAAAAACCTACATTCTTCCTGGCTCCGCTTAATTGGTGTTGTGACTGACAGACTTCTCCAGAGGAGAAGAGGGGGTCAGTTGCAGGGGTTAGGGCAGTCATTAATCTCTTTCTTTTTTATGGTCTAAGTTTCCCAAGGCCATCATTAACCCCTTATCTTTGTGGTTCCTCTGGGTGTCAGTCCCAGGTTTTTTAGAAAACTGCTCGGATGTTTACGTGCAGGAATAACTGATCAGAATGGAGTTTGATTTTTAAAATAGCCCAGTTCAGAAGGAAGTGGTGATGGTGTCTAGAGGTCGTATTCCTTTAGTATGTGTAGGGCTTGTAACCTGGTGTAGACAAACTGTGTTACAACTCTTAGTATTATTGAGGTAAAAGCTAGAACAACAAAAACGGTCCGGTGGAAGGAAAAAACATTTTTAGTTGTTTCCAATCCAAGTCAAAGGATGGGAGAAAAATGAAACATTAGCTAAATATGTAAGAAATTCAGGATCCAGTTCAATTCACAGATGAAAAATAAAACTTTGAAGACAATAGAATTAGAGTTTAATATTCACAAATGTGTACTATAGAGTTTATTGAAACACAATTCCTCCCCCTAAAATCATCCTTACTTTTATTAAAGAGCCAAGTTAAGACCAATTTATTTATTGTATTAGTCCAGTTTCAATTTGGCCTGATTATTTTCATAAACACAATACAAATAGCAATTGATTATACAGGCTTTCTTAAATCTGCTTTTCTGGAATCCCATAATTGAGCTTTAATTAGCCCTCAAGGCAAAAAAAGCTGAACCATATAGTTGCCATTAGGTTTGTCTGCAAAATCTATAAGCTTGGGTGAATCCCTCAAGTTCTTGAGGTGAAACTGGCCATCTCTCAGGAAAGCAACTTAATTTCTTACCTGAAAAGGCTAGCATGAACCCCACGACCAAGCCATTTCTCCAAGGGGCTCTTATTGACTTTAAAGTCAATTTTCATTCCTTAACGCTTTTATTTTTATTTTATTTATTTTTTTTGGTATATGCCCCAGCAGGAACCGAACCCGGGACTCTCTGGTCCGCAGGCCAACGCTCCAACCGCTGAGCCAAACCATCCAGGGCCAAGCAGGGTTTTTAATACCTCAAGGATTGGCAGATGTTGGCAAAGGACTGACAAATTCATTCCCTCATTTTTGGAATCCTTCTCCCTACCCCCATCTGGGTATTGAAAGGTCCAGTTACCTACTGGGCTGACTCCTAAGGAGGCATCAGCGCCAGTATCTCTAACAGGCAGGGTTATATAGGGGATATATGGGTGAGGGGTGGCAGTCCTTAGAGGGAGAGGACAATGTGATTTGGCTACTTGCACAGGTATAACCACAGGGAGACCAAGGGGGGTCTCCACTCCCAGGGTGATTCAACCTGGATACCTGGGGTAGTGTTCTGGAACATCCTGTTTCTCAGATTCTTTTCATGTATTAGGGAGAAGGGAGTTGGAGACTTTGGCTGCAATCCAATCAGGTATATACTTTTTCAGGCTCTGTAGCAATTACAGAGCGATCTAGTTTACCTGTAGTACATACTTGAGGGTCATTTGTGAGAGCCATAAAGGCTTAGTTGTATGGAAAAGAAACATTGATCTAAAGAGGCCTCATACTCCATCCACTTCCCTTGGGAATAGCGAAACAGGTCTAGTTTTAGGATAGTGTTATAATGTTGCCATTAAGTGGCCAGACCTTTCCATTGCCCACTTTATAGTGGGGCCAGGCTATGTTGCAAAAGAAGCTTGAGGGTACTTTCTTCCAGTTGGCAAATATGCATCCAAAGAGTACCTTGAGGCACTGTGGACTGATTCCCCAACCACAGACAGATATGTTCTAAGCCAAGAGTTAGAAGTGTTCCTGTTAGTCTGGGCTGTTTTGGGCCATCCTGAATGCACTCAGTATCCCATATCCTGCAGGCACCCAGTACCCAGTCTTGCGGGCACCCAGTGCCTCAATCTTGCAGTCACCCGTTCAAGTGAGGTATTCCTCATTTAATGACTTCCAGCCTTAGCTAGCCTTACTGGGAATCCCCTCTATCACGTCTCTCCATACAAGAGGTGCCTAGTACCTTTGTCGCCTCCAA